TAAAACATGAAAATTTGAGGCTAGAAGTTAATGTTCTGACCTGCCAATATCAATAATATAAGCATGCAATTAATGGGACACTCAGAAAATCATAAAAAGGTAGAAAAAAAATTTATATTATCATTGTTCCATTAGATTCAAATTTATTTCTTAGTTCTGGTACTGTAGGAAAATTACTGTTTTCAATTAATCTGAAAATGCTTAAGTAATCAAAACTAATGTTTTTGAACATTTAGTTAATAGCCACATATTACCACATATTTTAATGAATCTGACAAAACACAGATAAACTGCCATTTATCTAGGATTTGTACAAAAAATTAAGTCACAAATTTAAAACATTTTGACAAAGACAAATATTAGAATTCCAAAGCTATTTCACTACATTATTTTTGGTATGGTAAATAGCATCTGATATAAAAATCTAAAAAGTAAAAAAGGTAGAACACGAAACCATGTTTAATTAGTTCACACAACTTTCAGGAAGTTAAAAACAGTATCAGTAGGGCTAGTAATATTCAATTTAATTATAATGAGCATATTCAAATAAGTAACAGAATTAACTCTTTAGCTTGCACAGATGAGGAGAGGGAAGGAAGATAGGGACAGATAGGGGTGGGAATGAAAAACATAGAGAGGTTGTTGTTACCATTGATGCTTCAGTATGGAACTTGGAGAAGATAAGTCAGTTGGGATAAATAGAGTGAAAAAACTACATTATACAATCCAGGGGCAGGGGTGTAGAATAAAACTAAAGCAAGTGATGCAGTAAAGGATGATAGCAGTGATGCAGTCTTTGTAGTGCCCATAGGGACTAACGATGTAGGTAGGGAAGATTAGAAGGGCTAACTGTTAAGTACAAGGCATTGATAGATTCATTTAAGGATACTGCCAAAATTTGATTGTTGGGATGAAATTATACATAGGTCACTAGGGCTGAATGTTAGGCTTAAGTTAATGTGTAAGTATCACTAGGTTGGGTGAATGGATTTGTTCAATGTGAAAAAGAATGATACAGGAATGCTAATATCTGACAATTATGAAGTGGCTGGATTATTAAATTCTACTTTTTTTCTCCAATTTTTACTAATGAAGATTTATGTAATATTGTTCATCCTGAACAGATATGATATAGAAACAAGACTGAACAAAATAATCACATTAATTCTGAGCTTGTATATTGTTCATCCTGAATGGATATTAGACAGAAACAAGACTGAACAAGATAATCACATTCATTCTGAGCTTGTATGTTGTTCATCCTGAATGGATATTAGATAGAAACAAGACTGAACAAGATAATCACATTAATTCTGAGCTTGTATATTGTTCATCCTGAATGGATATTAGATAGAAACAAAACTGAACAAGATAATCACATTAATTCTGAGCTTGTATATTGTTCATCCTGAATAGATATTAGATAGAAACAAGACTGAACAAGATAATCACATTAATTCTGAGCTTGTATATTGTTCATCCAGAATGGATATTAGATAGAAACAAGACTGAACAAGATAATCACATTAATTCTGAGAAAAAACTGAGAAGATTTAAAGAACAATGATAATATTTTACCAAGGATTTTGAAAGAGGTTAAGAATTGGATAAGGGTACCACATGCTATTTTTTTTTTTTAAACAGTGGTCAGGTACCAGAAGACTGGAAGTTGGCTAATGTTGCTCCTCTTTTAAAGGGAGGTCATAAAAACTTTCACAGTATTTATACATCTATTAGTCTGATATCAGTGGTGGGAAAACATTTTTGAAAGTCTGATAAGAGATGCTTTGCAAAATCATTTAACAAAGTTTAAAATTTTGTTGGTTTCACCAGGAGAAAATCTTGCCTTACTAATCTTTCAACATTCTTTGAAGAGGTTACTGCTTTGTAGATGAGGGTAGAGGGGAATTGGTATATCTGGATTTTCAAAAAGCATTTGACAAAGTGCCACATAAAAAATTTCTTAATAAGTCATTTCTGTAGGTGTGGGGATATTGGTCAGGTAATTGGACTGGATGGAAGAAAGCAGAGGGTTGTTTTAAATGAAGTTCAGTCACACTAAATTACTGTTCCAAGTAAGGTACCTTGGGGCTCACTATTGGCACCTTCGCTCTTTTAAATTAATATAAATGAAAGAATGACGAATAAATCATTTAAGTTTGCTGATGATATAAATGCTTTAGGTGTAGTCACCTATGAGGAGGAGGATGCTTTACAAATGGATATGGATTATTTGGTGAATAAACGGCAGATTGCTTTTAAATTAAAGTAAATGCATGTTGGATATCACAATGTGTTATGAAACAATAGGACCTTGGTGTTCTGGTTGATCAGTCTCTAATTCATGCAACGTACTCTTGATAGTAGTAGGGCAATTAGGAGTTTAGACTGTATCTATAAAAATACTGAATACAAGTCTAAAGAGTTTATAATATCAATTGTATAGACATTGATTGGGCTATATTTGGTATACTGTGTTCAGTCTTGTGCTCCTCATCTGAGAAAGGACATTGAATGTTGAAAAGAGTTCAGAGGAAGGTTACTAGGATGGTACCAGGGATGTAAAGGTTGTCATACAAGGATAGGATAAAATCTCTGAACGTTTCCTCTTGAAAACAAGTTGGAGGGGATCTGATTTAGGTGTTTAAGATTATTAAGGGCATTGATAGTTTCGGTCAAGTACGCTATATAGTTTGCATTATCAGTGTTTGATCTAAGAGCAAGCCAATCAGTAATAAGCTACAAGAGAGTGGATAACTCGTATATCTCAGACCTCATGAGATATTAAGCAGAGAATAAAATCAACCTGTAACTGAAAATATTACAGAAATATTTTGATATATTTTTTGCAGTTAGCTATATACTGGAAATCTGAAACAATTTTTCACCTTCAGAAGAACGAAGATACTCATGTTTTTGTGTAGTTATATGCCACATATTCAAAGGTATTCAAATTGTTTTTTCATCTGTTACAGGATTTGTGTAATGTACATTGAAATAAGATACTGGAAGAATATTAAAAACCATGTATGAGATTCACTGAATTAAATAAGAAATACATCATAAACAACTGCTCGAAGAGTTAATGATATGGTATGAACATGTATTTATCAAGTTAAAATAGTTTTCAACATATTATTTGTATTTTATTCTTGCATACTTGGTATCACCACCACCTTTAAAATGCTACTGTACAGAAGTATAAGCTTAATGTTAACTATTATGACTAATATCATAAACTAAAATTTAATGCCCAAACATTTCTTTATTTCACATAAAAATAACAAATATTTGATATTTTACAGCCAACAGACATGGTCCTTTTCCATGAATAGGTATTTTTTTTCCAGATCTAGGAATTTTCCATACCTGACTAGGCATGTCCAATTCCTTACTTAAACAGATGTGTTTAATCAAATTTGCACCAAATATGACATTTTTGGTAGGGGAAGGTATACCGAATATTTTTTTTCCCTCTGAAAGAACAGTCATAGGTTAAAGATATCTAATGAACTGGACATGTATCTTAAATTGCATTTTAAAAATAAATTCTTGTATTAAAAAATTCTACTTCATAAGATGAAGTATTCAATTATAAAACTTTACAACTTAACCTTTGACACAAGTATTAAACACTCCTTAAAAATTGTTTGTTCTATCACGCCTTCCTGATGTGTATCAACATAGAAGACAGAGACCTATGTATCTTGAAACTAAAACAAATGGTAAGATGTGTATATCACGTTTACTTGATAAACTAGCATCTAAATTGCTACGAGGAGATTTATCCCAAATTTTACTGTATTATCTACTTCTATGAAGCCGAAATAAAAAGTTTATCACTGTCTAACCAATCTGAGTCAAAAAAGATATTCTGCCAAAAATTAAGCAGTTTTTTAGATAATTACTCTGTCTAAAAACTGACATTTAAAATTTATTCCAACTTGTTCATCAATACCTGAAGGATGCTTTATGCTTTTTGTTTCTAGAACATGAAACTTGTTTAAAAAAAAAAAGGGGGAGTGGCTACAAATATTAGGTAAACTCGTGCCACTTACGTAGTCACCAGGAACTTTTATTTCTCAATAAAATTTTGCATTTACCAGTACCATCCTTCAAATCTTCTAATTGGAATTGCAGAAGTTATCATATATAATGTAACTAAAATATTGATGTAGAACAAACATACCACTTGAAAAACATCTTATGTTGTTATATTATGTTTACACATTTCCTCAGCACTGAAAGTTTCTTTTCCAAAAAATATAAATGTTAAGTATTTTGTGTGGTGTTGCCTGTAATTATAAATAACATACAACTAATCATTTCTTATTTGACACAATTGGTCTTTAGCATAAAAATCAAAGCTGAAAAAGATAGTGTGAAAGTGCTCTGAGATGCATCTTTGAAAGCAGCATATTATTTATTATATTAAACGATCCACTCTTAAGAGTAAAACACATAATGGTTGAGCATAAAACTTTTTATATGTGGCTTCAACTTAACACTTTATCTGCATGTTGTTTATAATACTATTATAACTTTAAACATAAATTAGAAGATTTTACAATCTTTTTATTATTTCAAATATATAAGCACAGTTATGTGCATATCATAAACACATTATTTTATACACAGTAAATTCTAAATGTTTGCTTGTTATAAATTGTAAAAGACAAAAAAAAAGAAAAAGGGAGTCTTCAGAAGTGTTATCACACCAGAGAAATTGAAAACCCTTATCCACTGTCCAATATGTGTAATCCAACTCCCACTTTAAAAATTTCACTCTAACATTTAAGTTCTAACTCCAATTCTCAAGTCTAACATTAGAAGTGGAACTTATAATTTACATCAAGTAAATAAAACTTATAGAATTAAAGCAGATATATAACCTGGATTTTTAGTCTAAGTATAAATTATGCTAGACTAACTTTAAACCAGGCATAAACATAACACACTGTTAGTCCGTAAAATTTTAAAACAATCAAAAAATTACAAACCTAATAAAAGTAGTTTTAATTCTCTCCTAGCATCACGTTTGTCTTTACGAAGTTGTCTCTCAATTTCTTGATTGATTCTTTTCTGTTCCTTTACCTCTTCGCTAAGACAACAGCCCATGATCAAAATATGATCAGCAAAAGTCCAATAAAATACGTACAACCACCGCCGTCTTGAAAGTTGGAGTCCAATCCCGTATGCGTTATAAATTCTAAAATTTTACGAGAAGGTCCAAAAACGCTAAGCCTAAGCCTGTCAATCCATTAGGCTTATAATTTAAATGGTAATAATAATAATAACCATTACTAATAATATTATGGAAAAAATAAACAAACTTGTGTTTCCAAAAATGGGAAAAAAAGGACGATACACAGTTTCAATTCATAGCACAACAAATCTCGCACATTTTCCAGTCAATTTAATAACCTTTCTCAGATACCACACGCACGATCTCTTCCTTACCACACACGCATCAAACACCCGTTAACCGCGAACAATATTTCTGAGTGTGACGTGCTGGGTGTGGCGTGATACGATTGTATTGAGATGATGAAAAACGCTTGGCCGAAGAGCTACTGAATATATATATTTTCATTTTTATACATAAGTAATATAATTTAATTTATATTTCGCCTATATATAACACGATATTTACGAGTGATGAAAGTTTATATTTAAAATATGAAAATGAAAAACAAAACACTTACTTTTGAAAGAGATATAAGTAATAATTTATCAAGAAAAGCAAAAGCATTTAACAACCTTAACAACAGGTTGGCAAACAACGATTTATAAGCATAAAGAATAATTTTATTGATGGTGATGCTTATGATTATATGAGCATAATATTGTTGCGTCAGCGAGGTCACGTGACTAGTGTCACGCCACGTTTTCTAGAAATATCCTGTTCCTTCGTTAATGCCCTAGCATTTACTAGATTGGGGGGTAATCTTGAATATATTGTTACGTTTCCGTTTGTTAATTGATTTTCCGTAACTTCGTTCCAACGAAACTTTAGAGACACAAGTCCTTACTTAGTAAAACTGGTTTATTCTTTCCGATTAAAACTTTACGATACAC